CAGTGCTAGCTGAAATTGAAAGCCCGGCGCAACCCTTTGATATGTTCATAAATAGGGAAGAGAGGGCCTCTGAGCATGTGCAGAATTTGAGATTGGGGAGGGGCTACTCAGTGCCAGTAGACACAGCTCACTGCCACCTCTCTACTGGGAATTCTGCCGTCAAGCATTCTGCCCTGAAGTATATGTAAACAATGCTATGGTAAGAGGAGAGTTAGGTATTTGGAGGACAGGTCACCCAAAAGAACCTAGGTGGTTGTGGTTGCTATCTAAGATGGCTAACGTAGTGATCTAGGCCTCCATTGTGTTCAAGTAAACTCATTTCATTTGTTGTTAGCATCCATCTGTCTTGATAGACAATGGAGGAGTTCCCCTTGGGGTGAAGTCAAAGTCCCCCAGATGTTTCAGATGTTTTCTAAAAGTTGTGTATCTCCTTGACGCGTTGCACAGGGAGGGTGCCACTGCAGAAAAGGCCCTCTTCCTGGTTCCCTGTAACTTCATTTCTCACAGTGAGGGAATTGCCAGACGACCCTCGGAAGTGTCCGAGCTGAACGATGGAGATGAACTTATATGAAGGTCTCACTTTGGTATTTCTTTTAAAAACAACAACAAGCACAACAACAAACAAACACAACTTAGCATACAAGTGACCTAGGAAGCCAGGGAGGGCCTGGGTTGCATGAGTTTCCATGTGTTTCAGCCAGAAGATTTATTTCCAATTTGTTATTCATAAGGGAAGAGCGCAAGATTGGGATGGGTCCTTTGAAGTGGAAAACAAAGTCTTCTATTCAGTCTTGGGTCTAATAGAATGCACATGACACAGGCTTGGCATCGCAGCCTGTTTTAAAAGTGCAGCGCTTGTCATCTTTGCTTTCCAGTACTGGGAATGCTGGTGGGAATGGGTATTGCCCTGAAAGAAAAACACGGCTAATTATTTCCTGCTGTCTTTAATAGCGCATGCCTGGAGCAATCAGACAGGGAATCATTAGAGAGAAACAAGATGACCAAAGGCTTGTGTACTCACACTGATACCTTGTCAGTGCAGTTACAATTTCAGAGTTAATTGGACCCAAAGAAAGGAAACTTCCGTAATGAGATGCACTGCCAATTCCCTTATCCTCTAAATGCTTTTGTGTTCCCTGGGTTTATTCAGGATGCCAAAGTAATTGTACTGTTGCGCAACTGCGTAGGTCCTCATATAGAAGGTCATTATTGCTCTGCAGTTGATCAGATGATACATTTTACTTGCATGTGTATCTTGTTGGACTCCGCATCTTTCCTATTATTGATGTGGTGCTGAGGCTGAGAGATTGGAACCGCCCAAGAATGGCACCCACTGACTGATTGGGGTCTTGAACCCAAATCTCTCAATGCCATGACACATATTTTTATATCACCAGTTCAATACAGTAGACATTAGCTGTTTTCACTGTTGGCATTCTGCTAGTTATATTAACCGTTGTCAGGAATGTATTTAAGACAAAACGACAGCTCTTATTAGCAGGGGTGTGCTTGTCCTGCTCTTTGGTAGAGTGAAGCAGCCACAGAGTTTGGGATACTAACTCTGGAATCTGGTTGACCTCTGTATGAAATAAGGATGCTGAGCTAGACAAATCTGGTCTGGTCTGATCCAACAGACTCTTACTGTGTTCTAATTGTCTTTTATTATATAGTTTATTATTATATTTTAATCATCGGGAAGGGTGCTGGCTGGATTTTCAGTCACCAAATGTCTTGGGCAGGCATCCCCAAACTCGGCCCTCCAGATGTTTTGGGACTACAACTCCCATCATCCCTAGCTAACAGGACCAGTGGTCAGGGATAATGGGAATTGTAGTCCCAAAACATCTGGAGGGCCGAGTTTGGGGATGCCTGGTCTTGGGCCACATTTGGGCCAAGATACGTATGTGGCCAGAGCTTCTTAGGAATGCCATCCTATCACAAACCACTAGCAGTAGGAAGGGGAGAATTGCAGTAGCTGAGAGTTCTCTTATCCGGCAGGAATTGCTTCATTAATGGCTTTAGTTTTCAGAACTGCAGCATGCTTATTCCCACTAGCAGAGTTAGAAAATGAGACTTCCATATATTATCGTGATAAAGATGGGAGCACATCTCACGGGGACCTCCGCTTTCTACTTGCAGAATAGGATTATATGTGAAAGCAGTGCTTTAACGTGCAATTTTTTTTTGTAACTTCTAGAAGCTGAAAATAGTGTAAACTGGAAACAAATAGATATTTTTCTCCTGCATTTCTCCCCAAGCAAAGCATCTAAGCATCTGTGTTCTGCCTCCACTATTGGAGACAGTACAGTGGTACCTTGGTTCTTGAATGCTTTGGTACTCAAACAACTTGGAACCCAAACACTGCAAACCCGGAAGTAAGTGTTCCGGTTTGAAAACTTTTATTGAAAGCCAAACATGCTCCGTTTTGAGTGTTACACTTCCAATTTGAGTGCCACACTTCCATTTTGAGTGCTACGCTTCCGTTTTGAGTGCTACGCTTCCGTTTTGAGTGCCACACTTCCGTTTTGAGTGTTACACTGAGGTCTGTCTGTTTTTGCTATCCATTTTCCATTTTTGTTTTTGCGGCTCTTTTTTATTTTGTTTTTGTGACTGTGTGGAACCCAGTTCAGCTACTGATTGATTGATTGATTGATTGTGTGACTGCAGTACATGGTTTGTTGCTTTCATTTTATGGATCAGTAGTCTCGTTTTATAGTAAAATTCATGTTAAATTGCTGTTTTCGGGGTTGTTTTTAAAAGTCTGGAACGGATTAATCCGTTTTGCATTACTTTCTATGGAAAAGCGTGCCTTGGTTTTGGAACGCTTTGGTTTTGGAACGGACTTCCGGAATGGATTAAGTCTGAGAACCAAGGTTCTCCTGCATTTCTCCCCAAGCAAAGCATCTAAGCATCTGTGTTCTGCCTCTGAATGCCAGTTAGTGGGAGGCGCAAGTGGGTGCAATGCTGTTGTGCTCAGGTCCTGCTTGTGGGCTTACCCTTGAGTGTTGGAATAGTTGGGTGAATGACTTGATCCAGCAGCCTGTGCTTATATCCTCATCTTACGGGAAAACACAGAAACATGGTAAAAACAAGCAAAATAATAATATGCACCATATTGAAAAAATCATCCAGATCTAACCAATAAAATATGGAGCATTGAACATAAGCAGGAACCTTTTCTTTTTTTAGAGAGAGAGATAATCAAAAATGGTTGGCAATTGAAATATTTGACTTTGGGTTTTTGTAGACTTAGCCGGATGGGATGCAGCTATTATTCTATAATCTTCTCCTTCCCGTTACTCGATGCATTCATTTCCTCTCTTTCGCACATTTCACTTTGGGCCTCCCTATGAAAAGGAGGGATAGGATGGAACTTATTAGGTCATCCACGTCCAGTCTCTTCCAGTGTAGGATTATTCCCTGTGGTATGTTCCCAAGTGCTGTCTGCTATGGTCTATTTTTAAATGATCCAGAAAACAGGGTTTTCCCTGCTTCCCTGGGGAAGACCACACCACAATTAAGTTGGCCTTGCTGCGAGCGGATTTTATTATTTCCTCTTGGCCAACTTGAATTCTCCTTTGGCCTTCGTCCCCTGGACTGCTCCGAGTTTGGCTGTAGGGTAGAGCAGTCCATTATTAATGGCTCTTGTTTTTCTCCATTTAGACTTGTTGCAAGTAGTTGCCTTACACCTTAGTCATGGGTAGCCTAGTGCTTACAGTTTAGCACAGGGAACTTGGAGCCCAACTCAAGATAGAGGCATGCTTCCATCCATGAGTGTTTGTGGGGTTTTTTCCAGCTATGGAGCAAGCTCTACTTCAGCATGCCTTTGCTTTTCCAACTAACACAGTACAGTGGTACCTCGGGTTACATGCACTTCAGGTTACAGACGCTTCAGGTTACAGACACTGCTAACCCAGAAATAGTGCTTCAGGTTAAGAACTTTGCTTCAGGATGAGAACAGAAATCTTGCTCCGGTGGCGTGGCAGCAGTAGGAGGCCCCATTAGCTAAAGTGGTGCTTCAGGTTAAGAACAGTTTCAGGTGAAGTACAGACCTCCGGAACGAATTAAGTACTTAACCTGAGGTACCACTGTACTTGATTAAAGATTTTGCACCCTTTCCCTTTAAAACAATTTAAAAAGCAACCATTGTTCTTCATGATTGCCACAAGGGCCAGACAATCATTTCTATGTGCAGCCGTCCGGGGGCGTGGGGAGCAGAGGGAAGTTGCTTCACAGTTGTTACAAGGAGCAGCCTATTGATACTCTGCACAGCTGGCAATCAGATCAGAAGTTTCTGTCTAAAATGGGGGGGGGGGAGTAGGGGTAAATATAGATCCACTGCTCAAAGCAATGTGCATCTCTGCTCCACTAAACTGGGTTCAAAACGTAGCTGCAAGCTCAAAGGGTTGCCTCGGTCATACTTCTACATCTGTAAAATGGGAGTGTTGGCCACTCTTGTTAGTGGTGCCTGTGTTGTTCACCTTGGTTTCAAGACTGGGCAATTTAGCAGTGGGTGACAAAATGCTGTTGCTGCTGCCCCTCTCAGCAGCTTTAGGACACTGTGTCTGGGTATGAGGTAACGCAAAGGGAAGTCATTTGGAAATGGTTTTTGTTTGGCATGTACATATGGATTGGAACTCACTCCTGATATTTTTCCAGTGTTCTTTTTGCATTGCTTTATCTTCCCAAGAGGAAGAAAGATTCAGGCTGTATCTGTAAAATTGCATTGCTCCAGGCTGAAATGAATATGTACTTAACTCTCTGCAAACATGCCTTCGCTCTGGCTGTTCCATTTATCTTTCCCAGACCATCTACTTTTTTTTGAGCACATAAGGTCCTTCAGTATGTGTATGTGACTTATTACATAATTGAAAATGCCACAAACAGCTCTTTAAAACTCCTGTTTCCACCCCCCCCCCCCAAGTTAACGAGGAAGAGGAAGACCGGGCAGATATACTAATTTTTAATAACTTTCCCCTCTCCTATCTCTTTAAACACAGGATCTCTGGTCATGGAAGCAAGGACACGTGGTCGATTCTTGGCAGTCTGCAGTCTGTGGAGCTTTTGCAGGTGCAAAGGATTATATGTTATCCTGGGAAATGCTAAAGAAGAAAGGAAGGGAGGAGGGAAAATGTGCAAATCTATTAAGGCGAGCAGCACAGCAGCATTCTTTTATAATTCCAGTTTATTTAGAGCAAAGAAAATGGATCTTGCTGTGCGTGGAAGAGGGGGAAAGAAAGGGAAGCAAAAAAAAGGTGAGGTTAGGGAACCCAGGAAAGGGTGTCTGTTTGAAAGACAGCCAATTTGTTTTTAACAAATTTCTGTTATTGAACAAACAGTCCCTGTCAGTCAAGCTCTGGGATTATCCAGAGGTTGAGTTGTAAAACCCTCAGCGAGAAGAGACTGCATTTGGGTGCGGGTTTGTGCAGCTGTCTGCCCTGAGCTCCTCTTGAGGGTTTTCAATAAGGGCCCATGATTCACTGTTCATGTGACAGCTCTGACAGCACTCTAGATTAAGTAGAGTCAGGAGAACAGAATGTCTAAATGCAGCAGCCTGCAGGCGGAAACTTTCCACGGAGGAGAACCGGAGGCTGAAACATCTGGGCAGTCTCCGGACACTATCCCTGGAATGAAGAGTGGCAGGACGTGCTCTTGGACGATTTATTGCAAAACAAGCTGGAAGTTAATTGAATTCTTAAAGAGCCACCTTGCCTTATTCTAACAGCCTGCTTTAAAATAACTTCCTTTAAGATGTCACAAGTGGCTCATCCCACACGTCTGACAAGGAGCAGGGAGGGGAAACTTAATGGTCTGAGAGAAATCTCAGGTTAGTGGCTGCTAAGGGTGGAGTGGCAAAAATCTTCTTTCCAGAGTGTGTACAGTGCGAGGGTCCAAAGTGGTCATGGTGAATAGCAAATTGTGAATAGGAGTTACATTGGCACTTTTAGATTGGCCCAAAGTAAAGTAGACACCATTAAATACATATACATATATATAGATTGGCCTGTTCATGATAAATTAAAAAATAAAAGGTTGTCTTTTTCCAGGGTATGCAGTGAAACCATGGAAATAGCCATTTAAATGAGTTGGTAACCTACCCATACAGTTTAGGACAACATGTGGCAGCCTATTTTAGAAAATCCCTCGTCTGTCTATCCGTTCCCCATGGTATTACAGTAAAAGGTAAAGGTACCCTTGACTGTTAGGTCCAGTCGCAGATGACTCTGGAGTTGCGTGCTCGTCTCGCTCTATAGGCCGAGGGAGCCGGTGTTTGTCCGCAGACAGCTTTCAGGTCATGTGGCCAGCATGACTAAGCCGCTTCTGGCAAACCAGAGCAGCACATGGAAACGCCATTTACCCTCCCGCCAGAGCGGTACCTATTTATCTACTTGCACTTTGACGTGCTTTCAAACTGCTAGGTGGGCAGGAGCAGGGACCGAGCAACGGGAGCTCAACCCGTCGCGGGAATTCGAACTGCCGACCTTCTGATTGGCAAGCCCTAAGCTCTGTGGTTTAGACCACAGCGCCATTCACGTCCCCTTGGTATTACAGTATTTCATTCCAAATCCTTATTGTTACTGCTTCTGTATACTCAGACCGCATTCCTGTGGTGCTCTCCTTTAATGTGGACATATGTTTTATTGAAATTAGAAGGCCTTCTTTCCTTATTAACATGTTTAGAATCACAGTGTCTGTGCTTTGTTTCCTGCACTCAAGTCGTCCCTTTATTCCACTTCTTGAACCCTGCTGCTTATCTAGCTGTCATGGTGTCTTGCATCCAGGAATGCTAGGCCCCCCTTTCTGCTTCAAACCATTGCCACCATCATCTGCTTCATTTCCAATTTCTTCGGTGCGTTCAGGTTATCTACTACATGTGACACCTCTATTTGGGCAGTTCTACTTGTTGTTGGTAGCTACATGCCCTTTGTAGCTATTACCACTTCGATTCCCTTCTTCCCACTTTATAATTATTGGGATTGCCCCTGAAAACAGCCACCTTTGTACTTGTTTAAAGGTAAAGGTAAAGGTAAAGGACCCCTGGCAGTTAAGTCCAGTCATGAACGACTCTTGGGTTGTGGCGCTCATCTTGCTTTACTGGCAGTTTTTCTGGGACATGTGGCCAGCATGACTAAGCTGCTTTTGGCGAAACCAGAGCAGCGCATGGAAACGCTGTTTACCTTCCCGCCGGAGTGCTACCTATTTATCTACTTGCACTTTGGCGTGCTTTCAAACTGCTAGGTTGGCAGGAGCAGGGAGCTCACCCTGTCGCGGGGATTTGAATCGCCGACCTTCCAATCGGCAAGCCCTAGGCTCAGTGGTTTAGACCACAGTGCCACCCGCATCCCTTTGTACTTGTTTATAGTCATATTAATATCAGTTCACTTGGTTCTGCTGGTTTGTTGTTGTTGTCTTAGTATTGTGTCGTTTCCACTGGAGCAACTCCACTAGTGTTTGGAGGCATTTGAAAGTAGCTGATCTGAGAAACAGTTTTCAATTTTTGTGTCTCTGTGTGGATGACATTTTTTGAGATTTCCTCCACAACCTCAAAAACTAAAGTAATTATGTCTTGGGTCTGAGTTGCTTGGATGACCAGATGATGTATTCAGACACTATATACTGAATTGCGCTTGGAATCATTAGTAGTAGTATTCATGTGCTTTCTTGTGTGGCATATAATTGCCTTGAAAGAACCATCCTCTGTAAATAGACACTGGTGTAGGATCATAGCTCAGCATGACATGTGGAGTGATGGCCTAGGGGTATTCTGGGCCCCTTCTGTGAATTTTCAGCTTTCATTGAAAGAATAAGGTATTTAGTTCTGTTTCTTGGAAAGATATAAGGAAAATTCTACAGGTAACGTTTTATCTGTTTGCTTTCCACATCCTGACAAGCACTAGGCATTTCACATTTGTTAAATAACATCAAATGTCACCAACATTTCAGGCAATAAAATTATGTTAAATGTAACCTCAAGCCTCAGCTTTCATTCTGATTTTGTTTCAAGGCTCCGCCATTATTTTCCGGCCTCAGAAGTGGGGAAAGGAACGTTTTTAGCTGTCATTTTGCATTACGCCTGCCATTTTGAAACCAGACCACATGCTGAATATTCTGTAGCTCTTTCCCAAGCCTATAGGATCAGCAAACAGTTTCAGTATGAATTTTGTTTATAGTTTCCTTGCAGACCTGTGGATGACTGGATACCATTCTGACCGTTTTCCATTGACGCCACACTCCCCCAATATGCTTTTAGGCTTTCTCACTATAAATACCTGGCTAAGGACCTTTGAAATCTTGTAAGGGCTTCCCACTATGTCTTGTGGAAAGTGCTGTGTTATGTGCATGAAGTTGTGTAGATGTTACTTTCTTAAAGGTTAGCTGGGGGACAGGTATCACCTGTGCTCTCTGCCAGAATGCTGTGGCCCCAGCAGCTGTCCATGGATTCCAGGTGCTGGATCTGGCCATAGCCTGCCTGGTTGGCACGTAAATCAGGGCCTGTTTGGTGTGGGGTTGGCTTCTTTTAATGCCAAATGAGATGTGCTGGCGATGGGAACTCAAGCATCTCCCATGTTATCTTCTCATGCCCCCACAAATTCAGGCACTGTCCTAGCTGCAATTCCAGAACCGGACCAATCTGAAGCCTGAAATGGTGGGGGTGTGAGGGATTCTTTAAGGTGGGAGAATGGAGAGGCAGTGCTCTGTTCCTCTCTTGATGCAAAAACAGACCCCTTGCTTTATGTGACTCTCCTGCCCACGTCTAGCTTTGCCATACTCTAAATCTAGAATTTATACCCATAGGCCCAGAGACAGTGCTCTCTTGACTTCCAGTGCAAGGACTGTTGCATTAATGTAAGAGTGAGAATCATGGTCATGCAAAATGAAATCCGGCGCAACAGTTGCATTGGTGGAAGCTAGGTGTGCAACGGGACATAGCAATCTGATGCACAATGAGCCACAAGAACGACAGCAGCTTCCTGCTCCTTCTTTTTCACAGGCCATTGAGCTAGTGCGTCTAGTACAATGTTGAGGGGACGTCAGCATTTGAGTTCCTCCCTAACAGACTTGCTATGTCTCCCTCAGGATTAACTTGACCTGTTGGTTTCCTACTGCTGGGAGCATGGTATGACCTGAGTGGAAAGTCCTTTCTGGATTTGAAATGCTGCCTTTCCAAATTACTTCCTGAAGCAGTTGGAATGCATATTAATGGTTGCTTAGCAACAAGCCAGATTCCCCACCTATCTCCACTTTCATGTCCCCCTGGAACAAATTCCAGAATGTCCCAATCTTTTAATATGTTTTGGAAGATGGGGGCGGGGGCGGGACCTGTTTTGTTTTGTTTTGTTTTGTTTTGTTTGTTTGTTGGGTTGATCCCCCTTTCCCCTCTGACACATCCAGCTCCTTCAGACGCAACATGTCTATATCATTTGTGGAGAGGAAAAGTGCACACACCCGCACGCCAATATAAAACCATACATAAACATTATGGTTTATAAGCATCAAGTAAGTCAAACCATTGCGTGAGAGTTATTTACATTTATCACCATGTTGCAGGTCTCTTGGAAGGAAAATAAAAGTTTATAAGCCCAAGCCGCTAGCCAATCCTTAATCACGGCTATGTTGCCAATACCACAAAGGCTGTATTCAGACACTATAACTGTCTGAGACTCCCTAGCTGCTCATGTTCTTTGCGTTACCACAAAATTTACTTAAAGCCTTTTAGAGGTCAGAGGAGAGAAAAAACATTAAACACGCTAAACACAGCCTTCTGTTTTGAACTGTTGTGTTAACCAAGAAAAAAATACTGGATCCTTCCCCCGCCCCCTAATCGTAATGTTGTCTACTTGGCAGAGGGAAAACAAACATTAGTGTTAAGTTAAATGGCCAACACTATATTTTTGTTTAAATCCTTGCAAAATTGCAGTGGTGGTTGAAGTAAACTTTCTACGATGCTTTACAGCGCATTGCTAACCGCGTCTACTCAGACGTGTGTCCCATTGAATTTAATGGGGCTTGCTCCCAGGTGAGTGGGGTCTCGATAGCAGCCTCAGCTGTTTGCAATGTATTTGATGGGG